CCAGTTAGCTTAACATCTGTCATTGGCAAACATTACACAGTCCCTTATAAAGGATGTAATAGCAGAACATTTAGAAATACAAGAAAATCCTGCAGTATCAGTGTAGCTTCATGGAGGGGAATCATGCCTGACAAATTTATTACATCTCTTTGAGGTGGTAATAAGCAGAATAGATAACTTGAAATATACTTGGATTTCCAAATGGCATTCAATAAAGGTACTGCACATAAGGCTACTTAATTAATAAGGGCATGGCATGGGGTGGGAGGGGTGTATATTAACAGATGAAGACTGACTAACTAATAGAAGACAGTGTTGAGATAAAGTGGCATGTACAATGGCAACCTGTAACTAGTGGAGGGCCACAGGCAAAGGTGGCTCCTTAGACAGCACCTTCCAAGCACACAACCACTTCTTTCTAGAAGGACAAGGGCAGCAGGTAGATGGAAACACCACCAGCTGCAAGCTCCCCTCCAAACCACTCACCACCCTGACTTGGAAACATATCACCGTTCCTTCAATGTCGCTGGGTCAAAATCCTGGAATTCCCTCTGATGCAATTGGAACTGTGGCTACACTACATGGACTACAGCAACTCACAAGCACAGCTCACCACCACCTTAGGGGCAAGTACAGATGAGTAATAAATGCTGGCCCAGCCAGCAACACATACATCCCATCAGTAATTTAAGAAAAAAACTAGGTGGTACAGTTTCAAAATACCAGTCCCCCATTGAAGACAGGGATGACAAAGAATTTCTTCAGTAATTATTCTTTAGAATTCCTCATCCAACAAAGGCTGCCATTAAATATATTCGAGGCCAACTTTCAGTTCACCAAGGCTGCTTAGACAGCACCTTCCAAACCCACAAACACTTCCATCTTGAAGGACAAGAGGAGCAGATACAGCTCCCATGTAAGTTCTGCTCCAAGCCACTCACCATCCCAAGTTGGAAATATATCACCGGGTCAAAATCCTGGAACTCCTCCCCTCCCCTCCCCCCAATGGCATTGAGGGTCAACCTACAGCACATTGACTGCAGCGGATCAAGGAGACAGCTCACCATCACCTTTGAGGGCAACTAAGGATGGGCAATAAATGCTGGCCAGCCAGTGATACCCATATTCCGAGTGAATACAAAGGCAATTTGGAGCTACAGGGGAGTCTAATGTATTAATTTACAGGCAGGGAGAAGTGAAGGGCCTGGTCGTACAGACAAGCAGGCTAGTTTTGAGGAGCTGAATGGCTCCTCCTGTTTTTATGTTCTCCAACTAAATCTGTACAAATGACCAAATACTTGCTCAAAAACCAAGGTTTTCATGACTGTCTTAAATGAGGGAAGAGAGCGAGAAAAGCAAAGAAGGAGAGAATTCCAGGGAAATGGCCTCAGCAGCTGGAAGCCAGAGTATCAATTCAAATTTGAGATGGTGAAAACACCAGAAATTGAAGAGCTCAGGTCTCCCACAGTTGCAGGAGATTGCAGAGAAAGGAAGGCGGTGACCATGAAGGTATTGGGAAAGGATCAGAATCATAAAACGAGAGTGTTCCTTCACAAGATGCCAGTGAGTCATCGAGCAAAGGGGTGGTAGGCAAACAGGACTTGGTGCAAGACACAGGGTGGCACGGTAGTTCAGTGGTTAGCACTGCTGCCTCACAGCACCCGGGACCCAGGTTCAATTCCGACCTCGAGTGTCTAAAAGTGTTGAGTTTGCACATCCTCCGGGTGCTCTGGTTTCCTCCCACAGTCCAAAGACGTGGGGGTTAGGTAGATTAGCCATGATAAAATGCAGAGTTACGGAGATAAGAAGGGGGCCTGTTTCTGGGTGGGATGCTCTTCGGAGGGTCTTTGCAGACTCAAATGAACCAAATGGCCTCTTTTTGCACTATTCTATGTCTCAACACAGGCAGGAGAATTTTGGAAAGCTGAACTTCAGGGAGGATACAGTGTGGGGGTGTGAGCAAGGAATATGTTGGAACAGTCAAGTCTACAGTTGACAAAACCACGCATGAATGTTACAAGATAAGTGAAACAGTCAAGTCAGGCCATGTTACATCAGTGAGAATGTCTTCATGAAAGCTCAGATCTATGGTCAGATATGGTCTATGATCTATGATCTATGGTCATCTTGAGATCAAATAAAACCCAGAAGTTGTAACATTATTTCAGCCATAGGTAGTCACCAGGGAGGGGTTTATGGAATGGAGTTTTTAAAGCAGGCAATAAAGATGACGACTTTGGTCTTCCTAGTGATTAATGAAATTCTGCTCACCCAGTAACAAATGTCAGATCAGCAGTGGGATAATTTAATAACAGTGGAGTCATCGAGAGAGCCAATGGTGAGGCAGAGTTTGCTGTCATACATGGAAAACTGAACAATCTTTATCAGCTTGTTACTAAGGGGGCAAGGATAGATTGTTGAAGACGAGTTTGGGAGCAGACGAGAAGCCACTGCAGATGATACTTTGTCTACATTCAGATGGGCATGACAGCAGGGAAGTACTATTCCACTCAGTTGACCAATGGAGAGGTGGTGGTGCTGATAGGGGAGGAGGATGGTGTGGTCAATATTGTCTATGGCAGACAAGGAGACAGCGTTTCCTTCAGTCAGTCACTTGGGACATCATCTGTGCCTTTGACAAGAGCTATTTTAATACCATTACTGGGGCAGAATCATAACGGATGATAGAAACCCCTAGGTCTCAAGACGTGGGTGCACATTTAGGAGAGAACAATGTGCTCAGACCTGAGTTAAGAAGGATGCGGAGCTTGTATTTGAGCAGAGGAGGGCAGATTTGAAGGAGAGAGTGGGGCAAAAATACCTAAACAAGATCAGACAACATACCAGCCAATTTGGGTAGATAGCACTTCAGTGAGGATAGGATTGAACGAGGCAGTAGAAGTAGCACAAATTCCAGTTGGTAATTGCACAGAACAGTGAATGTCAATTAGTGGTTATAGAAACCTATAACTCTTCCACTGAAGATGCAGACCAGAGGTCGCTCGTTCATTCATTATGACGACTCAAAAGGCAAATGACAGTGCTCAAAAGAGGGCCTGTTATGCTGACTTTTTTGTATTTTTTTGAAATCGTTGCAGGTAGCATTCAGATCTCACTCCTCCCTGCAACAGAATGACCACGTCCTCAATCGGCTCCTGGCCCAATCTCTGGCCCTGAATGGTCAATCTCACGTGTGCGCTGTGCCGGGAGGAGGGCCGATTCGAATAAGGCGTGTCCTGAGCTGGACCACACTAACACAAAAATTCCCTAGTCCGCCCAGGGGAAAGATCAGGAAACCGGATTCCATTAAAAAATAATAATCGAAGCTAGAAGATGGTGAATAAGCCTGGCACCTAATCTGGTGATAGAGGGGGGAGGGACAGGGCGTGAGCTGACACGGGTGCCAATGTTGTATTAACCAGGTCAGTGTTGAAGACCCGTTTCAGAAATAAACCGAGCCAGCTGTCATAATACTATCCCCCCTTCACATCTTCGCCAGATTGGCAATATCCTCCGCCCATTGCTATTTCTGAAATGCAAATCAATAACCACCTGCATTACGGCGATCAAAAGGAATAAATATTTGCTATTGAGAATGGAGGACCGTGTGAAATGCGGCGGGCGGGGCGATTAATGGGTGTCTCTCTCATAATATAGAGATGAGGGAACAAACACTGCAATAAAGACATTGGCATGCAGAGCAAAGACTACATCACTCCCACAACCGCCCAGCGCCCTCCTAAACCACGGCCGTCTCGGTTCAATGTTTTAGGGGGTGGTGAAAGATTTCTTTAGGAATGTCTGTGTGCGTGACACTAGCAGAATCTTCTGGAATAGCTGCCTCCCAGCTTTGCTTTGTTCTCTGGTTCAGAGCAACCAGGCAGACAACACGCTGCATTTTTGGGGGTGGGTGGGGGTATGGGAAGGTGCCCTCACCCCTCTCTTCCTCCAAAATCCTTCTCCCTTGCGGCTCACACAGAGCACCTTTGTGAAGATCCCAGTGAAAGGGGTAGGGAAAAATGTCAGTTCCAACCTCATGTCAATTTCCATCCGTGTGAAACCACACAGGGGGAGGGTCTGCTCAAAACAAAAAGTCTGCCCCCGGAGAGGCGTTTACAGCAAGGAGTTGCTTCAAGCAATTTCGTTCCTTTTTGAAATGTTGCATTTCAGGTAGCAGTGGGGGAGTAAACCTGATCGATGGAGGGGAGGGGGGAAAAAGGGTTTAGAAATCATTCTTCAGGCACCGCCCCAGCGCCCAACCCGGGAATATCCGCATTCAATTATTTTCTTCCCCGACGAAAACGGCACAGATATCACCTGGCCAATCACAAACGCAAGAAGAGGAACTGACCCAGACATCCACTTTACACATTGAAACCGCCTTCCTCATACAGGACCAGGCAATTGTATCTCCGAGTGACTGCATACAAATCAATCCACCGAGTTAGGGAATTAAAGAGGTGAATGCCTATTAAAATTCAATTTTTTTTTAAAAAAAAAGAAAGATATCTATATCTCGCGTCTCCTGGAATCAAAACTTGCAAGTCAGCCTTCTCCCACGGCGAGGCCTGTGAAGAGAATTAAACGCCACACAATGCGCTAGTACCCCCATCCATCCATTCATTGCAAGCGGCTTTTGCGGCATCGCCCAGTGAGGTGCCCACAAAGGGTGGGGAAGGGGGGGGGGGGGGGG